GCAGGGCACCACCGCTTGGTGGTAGTACCAGCAGCTCTCTGCATCCTGCTGGCACTGCAGGGCCACGCGCTGGAGGCTCTGGCACACAGAGACCACGTCCTGGGCGCTCCCAGCCTCACTCCCTGCAGGACACGGGCACCGTCACATCCAGTTGTCACTGCTCTCACCCCATCGGTGCTGGCATCACGGGGTCAGCACCCAGCTGCATGCTGACGTTTCCCGGAGGCCACATTACCTCTCTGCAGCTGCCGGAGGTGCCGCAGCAGAACAGGGACGGTCTCCCGCACGATGCTGGGGTGTGTGGATGCAGCTGACAGGGCCTGCAGGCAGCGCTGCCGCAGGCGGCGCGGCGCTCGGGAGCCATCCTCCTCCTCCCGCTCTGCACAGGACACGCACCTCAGCGGGGGGCTGCAGGGAGCCCGGACCCAGCCCAAGGACATTCGGAGCCCAGAGAACGTCAGTGCGATGTAGGGAAGCAGCACAGCAGAAGTAGCCTGTTCCAAGCCAAAGGGACCCTGCCCGCTCCGCAGCTCCTCCTCGCATGGGTGACCCTGGCAGTGCAGGCTGGTTGCCAGCCCTCGGCACAGCCTTCCCTGTGCCAGCACCATGAAGCCCAAACCAAAGCCCCTGGTGAAGGGAGCCCTGGCAGGAGCTGAGCCAGGATGGGCCTCATCCCTATGCCAGAAGTCAATCTTTTCCCTGACGACCCCTACCTGACTGCAGCTCCTCTCCAAGTCTCGGAATCATGCGTCCCGAGAAACTCTGTGGATGGATGGGGGCCAGGGATCCAGCTGCCTCCATTGCTGCCTCACTGCAGGGTGGGAAAGAATGGGAGAGGGGAGGGGAGGGCTTCAAACTCTGCGTTCCTGGCACACAGGCTGCAGAAACACAGCTTAAAGGCGTCTCCAAAAACCCCTTTCTCAGCAATCTGCCCTGTTCACCCTGCTGGAAGGTAAAGCAGAGCCCCTACTTAGACAGGGCCAGGCTTTTGAATTTCCAGTTTAGGAACTGTCTGGTTTCTCTCATAGCTGTTTTACACAGCTGATCCTTTAGCTCACACAGCTCCTGTACCTTCACCCAGATTGCAACCCCTCTCTTCAGCAAAGCCAGGTTTTGTTCCTCTTCCCAGAGCACAGGTGACCAGAATGGCTCCAGCCAGCCCCTCACCTGCTCTGGGAATCCTCCTCATGCAGAATGAGCCGCAGGAGGTGATCCACAACCAGCTCCAGGTCAGAAGGAGACAGGAAGCCTGGAACAAGAGCCATCGAGGAAACCTGCCCTTGGCCAAAGGCAAAGATGCTGCTGTCCTGGCCAGCATCCTTCCCTCTCATCCCGGTTGTTAGCAACGCAGCAGTTTGCCAAACTCCAGAGATACTGGGTGCCCAGCGTGAACATGTAGGAGAGAGACCAAGAGTGCCCAGAACTCATGGCCTAGCTGGGAAATGTCACCACTTCTCCAGCACAGCCACACACAGCACCAAATCTGAGCTCCTTCCCAGGCACCCACCAGACCTGTGCAACCACATCCCCTGACTGGGGTGACACCTCCCTTTGACCCCACAGGAGAAACAAGACACCAACCTTGCAGAGAGCCCAGGACCGTCATCACCCTGATCCCCACCAGCTGCAGCTGCACGCTGGGGTCCGTCATTGCCGAGAACACCACGGAGCAGAGCGGGGCTCGCAGCGGCAGCAGGACGCTCTCCTCTGCAGACAGAGGCACCGTGTCGCTGCGCTGCCCCAGCACAGCCACTGCCACAGCACCGCATGGGCCCTTTGTGCGGCCCTGCCGGCCCACAGAGAACAAATGAGATGCCTGGGACACGCTGGAGCCACGGACACGCAGCCACCCGAGCCTGCAGGGAGCTCTCCTCCTCTGCCAGCATAGGAGGCAGGGAGCAGCAGAACCCTTAGCACACTGATGGCTCCAAGGGACCAGCAAACCTCACCTTCCTCCACATGTCCCCACTTCTGATGCAACTCCAGGAAGCCGAGCAGCATTTCCAGGATTGTCCTCCTCTGGCTGCTCTGCAGGGGCGCAAAAGTGTAACCCAGATTGGCGTCACCGTGGGACGCTGCTGCATCTCAGCCCGATGCCGCAAGGCCACAAACAGGAGGGACAGTGGCAGCACAGAGCTGGTGCCGCTCACCTGCGGGTGCTTGGTGTGCTGCTCCAGCAGCAGGGGCACCACGCTGCGCGTGACGCAGTGGCAGGGGGGGGGGGGCGCCCGCTGCTGCCTGCAGGAGCTTGGCACTCGGCCACACCAGCTTCATGTCGGGCTCGCACAGATGGTGCCTGCAATCTGAGACGGGCTGGTGTCAGCGCCGGCGGATAACCGGGGTGGGACGCACCGCCGAGCTCGGAGGTACCACGGCTCTGAGCTGCGGCGTGGCCTCCTCAGAGCTGCCTCCCTCTGCTCCAAGGGCCACAGTAGCCTTGGACACCCAGACACAGCAGAAAGGAAAGCAAGTCAATCCAGTAGGAATTTTTGACTGTGGCCCCTTTTGCCCACTCCAGTAGTTAATCCCCCTGGGGAAGCCAACACCAACTGGCAGAGCTGAGAGCCAGAAATGAAAGAAAAAAAGTCTCGAAGAGAAGAGAAGGAGATCTGGCTAGGGGATGCCTGCAGGCCTGCCAGTGCCAGGCTCTGTCCAGCTCAGCCGCTAGGAAGCGGGTAGCTATCTGCTGGCTACCTTGCAGGACACTGCTGAGGAACGAGTCAAGGAGGTCCTCGGCGTCGGAGCTGAGCACGGAGCGGGAGAGGCAGGCAGAGAGAGCGTGCAGCGCGGCCAGGCACTCGGCCTCCACCCTCTCGCTCGCTGTCTGGAACACCTGCCGGGAAACGGGACGAGCCGGCGCTCAGCCCAGCCGCGAGGGTCACAGCGCCAGGGCGGGCTGGAGGGCGCAGGGTGGGTCCCACTTCTGGCGTGCTTTGAAAACGCCACGGGGCACCCCGTGAGCCCCAGGGACACTCTGGGAGGGCCGGCCTGCCCCCACATCTCAGTCGGGGCTGTCTGAGGCTGCCAGGAGCCCTCCTGCGAAGTCTTGGCCAGCAGCAGCCCCGCTGCACTTGCTGGGCGCCGCAGTACTCACCTCCCTGCGCAGGGATGACCAGAGGCTGGGGAGGAATTCCTGCAGCTCCTTCTGCCCATAGATAGCACAGCAGGCTGTCTGCAGGAGGGAGCCAGGAGCAGGCCTCAGAGAGACGCCAGGACAGGGACACTGCCCGCCCCAGCAGGCTCCCACAGGGCTGCATGAACCACACAAGGCAGAGAGGAAGAGGAAGGAGTGACAAAGGCCAAAGGAGGACTCTGGAAACTATGGACCAGGTTCTGTAAGGGAGAGTTGCTGACTGACAAAGGGACTTGAAGGTGGCTGGATGCTGCCCTCTGTTAGCAGGCCAGACCAGCTGTGGACTGAAGGCAGAAGGGGATTCTTCCTTACCAGGGTCTGCAGGGAGTCAAGCTTGGCACTTTGCAGGTCTGAGTCCAACTTTTCAATGATCAGAGGGAGCAGGAACTGCAAAGAGAGGCAGTTAGAGTCATCATACCCCTTGCATCACCTTAACATGCACCTCTGTGGCCCAGCGGGGGTGCTCAGCCTCTTCCAAGAGATCTGAAGAGGAGGGATGCCCATGATAGCCTCTTCTCAGGTGGGCAGTACCAGCACCCTCCCTCTGTCCAGGCCAGGGACAAGTGGGACATGGGGGCTGCCAGCAGGAGACAGTGGCGCTTGTGCAGACTCCTTGTCCCAGCAGTTCCCATCCCATGGGATCAACAGGGAGCTGCAGCACTATGAAATGCAGTCTGTGCTTGAGGAAGAGACAGGTGCCTGAGAGCTGCTGGGGGGCCACCTACCTCAGCAAACTGGGGTGTAGAGGCCAAAACAGACCGGAGGCTCAGGATTAGGTCTTCTCTCTGGATGCCATGGGGATCATTGGGGGGCTGGAAGGGAATCACGGGGTTGCTGTTAGGAAACCTCCTATCTCATCTCAGCAATGCTGGTCACCAGAGGCAGCCTGGCATGGGCCTGTTGGCTTGGATAGCACGGCACAGCCACTTGCCCAAGCCTCTTGCCCACCCTCTCCTCCCTCCCATGGGAGGCATGCTGTGTCTCATGTGACATAACACGTGAAAAAAAAAAAAAAAGGAAAAGGAATAGGCTATGGCAGGGGGCAGACACAACCACTGGGGGAAAAAAAAAGGGGGAAGAGG